TATTATAATTATTAAAGGGAAATCATAAAAAATTCTATCACATAGAAATGGTCAATTACTGAGTCTTCAGTGGTCGAGAGGGTGCTGAGATAGTACTCTGTATCCCATCATCCTTTGCAGCATCGCCCCGGCTCAGTGACGGTCTGACAGGAGGCCTATCTCTCTCTCTCTCTCTCTCTCTCTCTCTGATGCTAGCCTCATCACTCATTGAGCACAGTGCGCATCTCTTGTGGTAAGTTAATGTATTTATATCATGTTGTAGCCAAGCCCAGTGTTTGGATGATCCACACTGGAGAGTAGCAGTAAATCAGACTACGTGTGGTTCATGTTATCGTCTGTGAAGAGCCAGCTGCCCATCCCAGGCGAGCTGAGCCCAGCTCTGGGTCCTGGCTCCCGGCGAGGAGTCGCTCAGATTTAGGATTTAATAATCTGTGTTGCTAACATTAGCATGCAGCTCTTGAAAAACAAATACAATTAGCCATCTGGGTTATTGCACGCTACATTACCTGCTATGCAACCATTTAACATGAACACATCATCTGGTTAATGTTGACCAACTTCGCGCTGCCTAAGTTAGCCACCTGAGCTGGTGATGTTAGCTAACTTGAGATCTACAAGCTAGTTAGCAGCTGAGGTGTTTAGCTGGATCTAACTTTGACGTTGTGAATGTTAAAGTTTACAGCTCGGTGTGGCTGGTGTCTGTCTTATGTGTATCACCATGTCCGGTAATCGGCTTTAAACTATTTCCGTCGGGGCTCAGGGGCAGTGAGTAAGTAGCTGGTGGGGTCAGTTGTGTTTGGTTATCAGCTGTTTACTGAAACTTAAGACTTCCTGGGAACATTATTTTTCCTGCTGCTTACTCCTTCCATACAGCAGCACCATGAATGCAGCGTTAGCTCAGGCTGAGGTATAATCTGAGCTGTGCTTGATAGTCCACTCATTCTTTTTCATCCGATTTATTAGAATCTAATGTGTGATGAAGTTGCTAGGTGTTTCTTTACCAAGTGTCAATCATTATAGGCCAGTGAGTAAAATTCCCTGAAGCTGCTTTCACACATGCACTGATAATATCCAGACATTATCTGAATGTGCAAATGTCTGAAATAGAAACTCCTCTTTCTCTGGAGTTTCTCCTCCCAGCCCCCTTCTAAAAACTCCAGATAATGTCCAAGTGAAAGCAAATGAGAACAAAGTGGGAGATTACCAGGATTCACCTCCAGCGAGTGGGCGTGTTGATGATGATTGTAAAACGAGACGGACACAAAACTGAAAGAACAAAAATAATAGGGATATCTCAGGATGGAAAAGTGGTGCCATTGCTTAGAAGAAACTTTCAACGACATCTAGGGTGGTGGTGATAAGGGTCGATTGCTGGTGTCGATGCTGGTGTCGATTTGCTGTAAACAAAAACACACAAACTCTGCAGAGAAATGAACATGTTACATTCTGCCTCTGCCTGCTGCACCACCCCTCACCAGATGTCTGTGTTGTTGTGGACGTGTCTGTCCAGAGACCCTCCTGCTATGTTTTTCATGTGTCAAAGGCAAACTCCGGAGAAGCTCTGGAACCAGTTGTGTGGACATTCTCTATAGTCCATGAATCAAAACTGCTTTTCTTCTTTCAGGCCTTGTCCAGTTTCAGTATGGAGCCATCGGGAAGTTCGACAGCAGCCTCATTGAGCAACCACACCCAGAACTCAACTGGTAGTGGTGGCTGTCCATGGGAGATCAGCGATAAGGTCAAACTGTGCAGATTCCTCTGCTATGCCTCTGAAGGAGACGTATACACGGCCAGGGAGGAGGGTCGTGTCATCATGGAGAGCACTGAAACCCTCCTCTCCCTGCTGGAGCAGGGCCGGGGTGCTGAGGTGGTGGAGGAGATCAAGAGGTTCGCTCAGGATGACAGAGCTGTCAGACTCGACCCCTCCTTCTTTGCCTTGGCCTTGTGCTCTCAGTATTCTGAGCTGAAGACGAGGCAGGCAGCATTTAAAGCTGTAAAGGAAGTTTGTCGGAACCCTGCCCACCTGTTTTCTTTCATTCAGTATAAGAAGGAACTGAAAGAGGGCATGAAGTGTGGGATTTGGGGACGCGCCCTGAGGAAAGCAGTGTCTGACTGGTATAATGAGCAAGATGCCATGAGTCTGGCTGCAGCTGTGACCAAATGTAAACAGAGGGAGGGATGGACGCACCAGGATCTGCTAAGGCTGTCTCACACCAAACCAGCTAATGAAGGTGAGTTTACACACTTCATGTTAACAGGGGACTGGCAAAAATACCATCCACCTAGGTATGTAATATGGGAAGGCAAAATTCCTGATGAACAGAACTATGTAGACGCTGACAGAAAAGCACCTAATTAAAATGTAATAATTAATTAATCACACCGTTTGTGTTTCCAGCAATTATTTTGATCAGCAAATATGTAACGAAAGGATGGAAAGACGTCCAGGCTGCGTACGCAGACAAAGAGAACCCAGAGGAGGTCGTCAAAGTGCTTTCATATCTTGAAGTGGTGGAGAAGGTCAAGCACAGTTGTGATGAAACAGAGGTCATCAATTTGATAGAGGAACACAAACTGGAGAGGGAGCAGCTGCTGACAGACCACCTGAAGTCCAAACAGGTGATAGTGTGTATTCGTGTGTGTGTTTGTATAGGTGTGTGTGATCATTTTGAGAGTTTCCTTTGTCTTCTTAAGAATGACTCTATAGAAAAATGATGCTGTTTTCCACCCATCAAGCACTAAAACTGCAAACGAGCATTGCATGTTCAGGGTATCTGTAATTTTAAAAACTGTTTTTATCTGTAAAACAGAACAATGTGAGGTTCTGAGTCCATTTTAAACATTTCCGTGCAGACATTTTAAAGAAGTTATAAATATTGGGTGGGGCACATGAGCTGCCCAAATAAATTCTAGATATTGGAATGATTGGAAGTGTACATCTGGAATGAATTTCTTATGAAAATATGTGGTTATGTTTTTTTTTTTAGGTATGGAGGGCTCTGTTGAAGGAAATGCCTCTTCAGTCAGTGCTAAGGATCTTGGGTAAGATGACATCAAACAAAATTCTTGAACCAGGAGGCTCAGAAACACAAGCTGTGTGTGACAGAATCCAGAACGAGACGGCTCTGAAGAAGGTAGGAGTGGTAGATATTTTTCATTTGTCTGCAGCTATTTTAAAAAAAATACAGGAGACGGTGCTTTTGATTTCCATCTTGAAATTGCCAGGCAATGATCCACCCTTTCAGTATACTCTTGGCTTCAGAGAACTACAAAAGAGGCCAGGGCTACCAGGGTAAAACAAAATGGACACCAGACAGCAGCATCCTCAAAGCAATGGACACTGCCTTTTACACAAGTTTTATGGTAGGTTCTTTCATTCTCACAGCATCTCGTGAACAGCAATGAAAATAGCAATCAGTAGCATTAGATAATACAAATAATCTGCACTGTTTCCATTCTTTCCCCAGAATTTGGAGCCTGTGGGTAAACGCTTTGTGGTGGCAGTAGATGTGAGCACGTCACTGAGCAGCATTGTCCCAGGGACATCGATCAGCACTGCTGTCGCTGCTGCTGCAGTTACCATGGTAAGATAGTGCTAAAGCTAGATAGCAACACAGCGTGTGGGTGTGGGTTGTTGCAGTTGGAACAGCTGCGTCTGTAAGCAGGGCTCAGACAGCTCCATCTATGGAGGAAGTCCGGGTAAAGGAATCGGTCTGTTGACACATGCTGCGGATTCCTGCAAAATTCCTTTCCGCAGCATGGATATTGTAGTCCTCAGGCCCTGCAGGAATTATGAGCTGGCATGTGTCATCACAGTGACGATTCTCAGATTAGTTCAGAGAATAGTGATATGAGAGACAGATGTCATGATCTTCATTGGACTTTTGTGTCTGGGTAGTTTTTTGCAAGGACGGAGGCGGATACACAAGTGCTGGCCTACTCTGAAGGAGCTGTGGTTCCATGCACTGTGTCTGCTGACATGACTCTGGCACAAGCAACTGTTGAACTGGTGAAGGTGAGACATGTCACAGCATCAGAGTTAGAAATTCCTGAAGTAGTTACAACATTTTCTGACCATTATTATTTAGAAATTATTTAATAAATGATCAGTCCAGTAGCAAGTTAGGTGTTGTGTTCACTGAACATATTTTACTCTTGAACTCTGAACTTTCCACCATATGCTCCAGATCCCAGGTGGAAGCACAGACTGCACTCTTCCTGTCATGTGGGCCACAGAGAACGGAAAGTCTGTCGATGTATTTGTTATTCTGACCAATAACCCATTGTGGACGTTTGCTGCCAGCCCAGTGGAGTCTCTAAAGAAGTACAGAGAAGTACTTTAATTAATTTGCATCTTTTTAATTGACTTATATTATTGTTTTAGAAAATTAAATTATACAATGGCCAGGAAAATTATACAATCTATAATCCAGTAAAAAAATAAAATTTCTGCAAACTTAATCAGACAAAAGGGATGAGGTTCTATTGCACATTTATATAAAAGCTTATCCCTGACTTTTTCCTCAATGGCATTGGCAATTAACCAGTACACGGTAATTCATGTAATGTTAGATAGATGTTTTTAATATGGCTGGATGATACAACACAGTTTATTTTCTTTAATTCAACACATGCACATCCATCTTACCCAGTTTTTTGTCAATTTTCAAGTAAATGTGAACTAACATACTCAAGCGTTTTACTCAAAACTATACACCACAATTTTTTGTATGTGCATTTTCTCAACAGAAATCAGGAGTTAATTCCAAGTTGGTGATGTGTGGGCTGACTTCCATTGGACACGCCCTCGCCAATACAGATGACAGGGGTTTCCTGAGCATCTGTGGATTCGACCTTGGAGCTTTGAGTGTCATTCGTAACCTAGCCCAGGATCTGATCTGATGAAGTATTGAGACTGTCTTGGAATCATGTGGTCAGAGTTAAAACAGAAGGCACAGAGTAGACCAGTGTGGCTCACTCAGCATGTACAGTGCCCTAAAACAGCACTAATCCAAAAGTGTTGATATTTACAATTCCAATTTCTCTTTTTATATAATGACGCTTACAAGTCAACTGACAAAGTGTCCAGCAGGCTGGACAACACTCTGGAAATGTAATGTGCTTCTTTTTTTTTTTTTTGAAATTTGAAAAAAAGGATGGAATAGGACATGGTATGTCATTGCACAATCATGCTGAGTTAAGGTGCCAACAGCACTATGTGTGACAGGCTGTGCAGTGGTGGTTCTTATTTAGACACTAACCCATTCAATTATAAATTCCACTAATTGATAGCAAGCTGTTTGTAGATTAAATAAGAGGGAAGGTATAAGAGTTAGGATGTTAATCGAAGTGCAAGCATAGGTTTATTTTAAGGTTTGTTACTGTATTTTTCTGGTTTGTATCTATGGTATGATTCTTACAGAATTGATATGATGGTATAGAGGAGTGTTCAATTTGAAGACTTGTCCCTCTGTTGCATTTATACAGATATAAATGAATTGAAACAAAGCACCAAAAGTAAGCAGAATACTGGAATTCTTGTTGTTAATTATGGTCAAAAATTTCATATATTTGATCAGAAGATTTTTACGAATAAAATTTTAATTAATTTAAAAAAAAAAAGAAGAATTCCATTTCTCTTGCCTTTAGTTCAGCTAAAAACATTTTGTTACTGTATCAATATTTGTTTTCCCCTAAACCAGCTTTGGTTTTAAAACTGAGTTTTGGTTTTGTGTCTTGTTGAATTCATTCCATTAAAATAATATCCTAGGTGCTCTTAAATGTCATGATACATTTTTTGGGGAATTACTCTGGTTATTGTTTTCTCTTGTGAAACAATGATGCCAATGTTTGGGACTGTAGGTCTACATACTGTAAGGAGGAAGTGAACTTGTTCTCATATTTTAAGTCTGAATCCTATGCATCACAATTGGGATTTAACTGTATTCTTATGTCCAGGCAGGACAATTCATAGCTATTTAACAACTGTTTACTGAGACTGAATCTACTATCACAGTATTGATATTGATTGATGTATGAATGTTCATTATGCAAAAATTAAATGAATTGAATGTAACAGTAGAGATTTAAAGTACCACGCTTTATATTTCTGCAGACACACAATGTACACACAAGTTACAGTGTTGTTGTTAGAGGCCTAGTCATTGTGGTGAACTCCAAGCAAATGACTGCAGTGGTGCTTGTTGTTTTAGTCAGCAGTAATTGCTGTAGATACTGACAGCATTCACTAATCATGACACTAATTTACTCTTGTCTCATTCACACTTTATGAAGAACAAACTCCTGACCATTTTACTGTGAAGGAAATTTTTGTCTGCACATGCTGATAACTGTCATTTTCAATGTTGAGACAATGTCCACTGTCTTTTTGACCAAATGTCAAAATCCTATAAAGCTGAAATGTGTGTTATCATTATTAAATACAACATTTGTAGCTGAATGTCTGGTACAAGAGGTAGTTGATATGAAGTTTGGTTTCACCACTGTGGTTAACGTTTTGCCATCCTGTTGTTTGTTCTATCCATTCAACATATAGGTATTTGGCTGTAGTAGCATTTTAAACCCCTAATAAACAATTTGCTGCTCATCAAATTGTGTTTTCTTTGCTTTATATGTAACAAATAACTGCCTGAATTCCTGGAAAAACACACACTTTACTCCTGGTTCATCACTTCCTATGACCAAAGCGTCCTTCCAGGGGACATGTCCTTGAGCAAGGCACCAGGGCCGTCACAGTATTATATTTACCATGTGGACAAAATTATTCCAAAAGTAATCATTTTTTTGAAGGCGTTGGCATTTAATCAAACACAGTCAAATCGTTGTGTAGAACCATCTTACCAAGGGTGCCACCGAGAAACAGAAAGAGAATTCAGATCAGGCATCCTGCGAGGCCACATGCTGTTTATAACTGGGGGCCTCGCAAACACACTACAACAAGAGAAGTGAAGATGGCGGATGTGTTGAGTGTTCTTCGTCAGTACAACATCCAGAAAAAGGAAATCGTCGCTAAAGGAGATGAAGTTATATTCGGGGAGTTCTCCTGGCCGAAAAATGTCAAGACCAACTACATAATCTGGGGGTATGTCGGTGTTAAAAATCCATGTGAACGTTTGTAGGCCGGCGGCTGCAGCTCATCGGTCGGTGCCCTGTGCTGCTGGTAACCGCGAACACTCGCTAGCAAACAGATGCTAACTCAACTCCACTACTCGTTGGTGTACTTCAAACTGAAAGCCCTGTTTAGTTGCTCTGAAGTTACATTTAAACAGTGCAGCCAACACTCCTGTGTCTCTACGTTTGCACTAATTCGTGTCAATTCACATTTTTTCAACTTAAAATACATTTAAGAGACGTGTAGCTAAACTTGCATTAGTGATGTGTGGCTAACTGACGGAGCTAATGTTGAGCTGTCTGTCCATGAAGTCAGGGCTCCGCTGGCTCAAGGGTAAAGAAGAATTGCGTGTTGAGTGTCTGCGTTCATGACTGGTAGTGGCCCTGTTCAAACGTTAGCTCATGAAGGGGTCAACAGATTAGCTAGCTAAATATCTGATGACAGTTTCCTGCTTAGTTGACAGTAGAACCCGTGTAACGTTGCCCTCATGAAGTTACTTGCACCTAAACACATTTCATATATCCACCACTATGGATTTTGCATTAGCTCCAACTTGCAGTGTTGATTTAAGTGGTGTTTTCATGATGATCAAATAATCATGAGGTCTGAGTGTTTTTTCCTCTTCCTCATGTTCTTTTCCTGTTTCTGTCTCTCAGTACTGGTAAAGAGGGCCAGCCCAAAGAGTACTATACTTTGGACTCTATCTTGTTCTTGCTCAACAATGTCCATCTCTCGCATCCATCCTATGTTCGAAGAGCTGCAGTAAGTAACTATCAAACTGAGCCAAACTGTCAAAAAGTCAAAACCCCGTTGCAGCCTCTTTTTTAACAACCGCCAGACTTCCTTAAATCTGCCCTGACTGTGTTTACATGTCTGCTTTTAGACAGAGAACATTCCTGTTGTCAGAAGACCTGATCGAAAGGGCTTGCTGTCATATCTCAATGGCGATAGTTGTAAGTAGCACTTATATGATCTCTGGTGATTTGTAAATTGTGGTTCTTTTCATGTTTAAGCTGTCAATGATGTGTTTCCCTAGCATAATGTCCTGATTTCCTTTAAGTTTTGACTTGGTCTAATAAGAATTTCTAACACGTGATCTAATTCTCTCCAATTACAGCTACATCAACGAGTATTGACAGAAGTGCACCTATAGAGATAGGGTTGCAACGGCCAACGCAAGGTAATTTTACACCATATTTATTTTGTTGTTGCTTCATGATTATTATAATTAACCAAATAAATGGTGGCTTTTGTTATGACTTTTGCTGCTATATTCAAATTTGTCATATTTTTGAAGACTTTTTTCTTTTAATTTTGTGCTGTTTTCTTGAGAATGTCTGCTGCAAAACACAGTGACATAATAAAATGATTTTGTTCCTCCTCCCAGTCAAAAGAGCAGCTGATGAGGTATCTTCTGAAGCCAAAAAGCCAAGGATTGAGGTAAGTTGATAAGAATATGATTTATTTATACAAAACAACTGTAATATTAATTGGTCTTGATAATCACATGTTGTTCTGTGTACCTAAGTACCATTTTGGATTGTTTAACTGCCTTAGTTTGAATCTCAAATTTACACCTGCTGCAGGACACAGAACGAATTGTTAGTGAAGCTTGTAGTTGATGCTCATCAACTATCCCATCTATTGTTGATGACATTATGGCAATGATAATGGGTGGCATATTTTAGTCTAATGCTTTTCAAATTATAATTTTTTTTATGACTGTTAAATTATTTTTATTATTTGCAATTTCATAAACATGGTGTTAAATCTGAATATAGATTTTGCAATAAATTAAGTAAATTTTGTTACAATTACAAAATCACTATCTTGCATACACGGCAAAAGAAATTGAATGTATATGGATGACGATAAGGGTCCTTGTTGTAGACAATGTCATTTTATTGTAAAGTCCAACTTTGTTTTCTGACTGATTTACAGTAGCGACAAGCAATAAAGTGTGTTTTGCAAATGTGCAAATTTAGCACTGACTGAAGATTACATTGTGGGTTATTCTGTAGTTTTCTCATCAAGTTTGTTCATGGCTTTGAATTTAAGGATGAGGAACGAGTGCGTCTGGACAAGGAGCGTCTTGCTGCCCGTCTGGAGGGCCACAAAGAAGGCATCGTGCAGACTGACCAGATCAGGTAACATGGATCCACCTTAATCATCTTACACTTGTGTTACATGATTTCTGTTTAACCTTTCAACACTTGGGGATTTTTTTATTCAACATGCATTATCAGTGTGGCGTGATGAGTATTAATAGCATGTTCAACACCTGCAGTTTCATGAGCTATTTAAATAAACAAAACATTTCCTCCTCTTCCTTTTCTTCTTCTCTTTCTCCAGATCTCTGTCTGAGGCCATGTCTGTGGAGAAAATTGCTGCCATCAAAGCCAAGATTATGGCCAAGAAACGTTCCACCATCAAAACAGATCTGGATGATGACATAACCCTGAAGCAGAGAAGCTTTGTGAATTCAGAGATGGATGTCACCAGAGATATTGTCAGCAGAGAGAGGGTCTGGAGGACCAGGACAACCATTCTCCAGAGCACTGGAAAGGTCAGTCTGCTTTGAGCAAATGACATCCAATCACATAGAGCTTTCAGGTTTTTCTTTTGTCACAGTAAATATATTTCCCTATATACATAGTGTGTGTCAGAGTAGTGAGTTTTCTTATATTCTTGCCTGCAAAGTGGTTTAGTTTTAGACCTTGACAGTTTTTAAATGGAATTTTGGCACTTTCATACGTATCTTGTTTGGCCCTGACCCTTCAGACTTTTCAGTTTAGTCACAACCAAAATAACAGGTGTGAAAATTGCCTTGGACCAAGGTTGGGACCAGTGGACCAAAATTAAGTTTGAGCAAAAGGGGCTGTCTCGATCTTGGATCCAACTGAATCATGGTTTTTGGTTGTTTACAGTGCGAAAACACCTTTTATTGGATAGTTCTGGAAGTACTGGAAGTTTAGAAATAGTTATCCAGGCTTACAGGACTGCAGTCTTGTGTAGAATATAATGTTTGAAATACAAGGGCGTTAGTTTGCTGCATTCAACCTGGTGTAGAATACCTTGCCTGTAATTGGTCATGGTGGAAGTAAAACTATAATGATATCACAGAAAAGAAATTATCAACATGAAGAGGTTCATTAATTTTCTCCATTCAAACAAAACAATGACCTGCTGAATAAACCAAGTGCTAGTCAGACATCCGCCCGTCCACAAACCAATCAATGTATTCGCATAGACGCAGACCATGTAGATGATGACAACAGTACATACATATGTCACTCAATTTTTGTAATGAACCTTGGTTTAGCCTTTCATGTTTGACATTTTCCTTGCTGGAAGAGTCAGACGACAATTGGAACTGTACTCGAGAACAGCCTTCAGAGTTTGAAAACAGCTGTTCTAGTCTGCTGAACTCTCAAGGTGTGTGTGTGTGTGTGT